CTCTTGTCGATGTAATTACTCCACCTCAATGAGATGCGGAAGCTATGTCAGTGGGAGAGCATCTCTCACAGACATAGCACGGTGTAGATTTTAAGTTGATGCAACTTACGTCGCTTGGGGGGGATTTTTTTCCCCCCCACACCCATGAGCGACATAACTTATATCGACTTAAATGGTAGCGTAGACAAGACCTGATAAATGTTTGTCTTCATTGCAGTCGATATAGGTGAGCTTTCACCTCTCAAGGATAGTACGGATTTTGAAGAGAGAAAAAAAAGCCTAGCCACTCCAAGATACGAACTTTGTCTTTTAACAGTTGGACCTTTTCCACACCACAGGAGCATTTGATGCCAGCTCTACAAACAGGTGGACTTTATTTTTTAAACCAAACATTTTCTTCCCCTTTAAACTATTTTCACAAACCTCTCCCAGGTGAAAAGTACTGCCAAATTCATACTTTTCTTTTCAGTACAGGAATTCTATGTCTTTCTAGAAGAGGCATCAATTTCTCTGTTAAACAGACACTATCAATTTCCAAACGAAATTTCACCATACAACCTTAATGGATGTCAAATTATACCCTAGATTCATACTGTAAGATTAATCTCTTTTGGTTATTTTTCTAATGGTCTAATCCTCTTATTTAGGGTAAAATTTTCTTTAAATAAGACCATTGCAAAAAATGTACATTGGTGTTTTGGGATAATCTTTTATTTAGTACTCACTGTGCACTGTGACCTAGAGAATAAATGTCCACTTTTACCCGTAGATCACTAACTGGAACTCCTTTCCCGCCACTAATGAAAATAGATTTAGTTAGGGCATTCTTGCATCATTAATTTGCTGGTGAAATGTGGTGTAGTAGATGAAGTAGGAAGACATGAATACACTAACTCTTCCGATAAAAGCAGCACTGAGCTAAGGTATGGTCCATTGCCGAGGTGCCTTTGCCATCTCACATGTTTGTTTGTTTTTCTTCTGTTTTAATTTTTTATTGTCTGCAGTGTTGTTGTAGCCATGTTGGTCCCAGGACATTAGACAGACAAGGTGAGTGAGGTAATATCTTTTATTGGACCAACTTCTATTGGTGAAAGAGACAAGCTTTCAAGCTACAAAGTGCTTGAAATAATAAATAAATTATTGTCAAACTATCATGCTTTTCAATCAAGACAACTCAACTGGGCTAAAAAGAATACTTTGACTTGCAGAAAGGAAACCATAGTTGGGAAACTAGAAAAAAAGTCTCCTGGCAGCCAGGAAAGCACTCTAGGAGAGTTTGTTTGGTAACAGTGAATTGACAGTGCATTTCCCTTTTTCTTATACCCTTGTTCCTATCAACTCATCCTCTCCTTTCATTGCTCCATGTCTGATCCCTTCCTCCTTAATGAAAAAATTAAACTAATAAAATAATGGAACTATAAAGATAAATGCCAGTCATCACCCTGACTAGTTTAACTGTACAGTGTATCCCTTTTATCCATCCTTCACCTGGGTATTTCTCATCTATTTTAGACTGATTTTCTGGCCAGAAACCGTGTTTTTCTATATTTCTGTAAGTCCCCAAAATATTTTGAGTAATACTGTCATATAAATGTTAATAAATAAGTAAATAAGCTACAACTTTGGTTCTTAGATATGACTGCACAACTCTTAGTTCAACGGAAGCTGTGTGAACCTATCTGGGAGAACAGTGTGGCATGTTATTTTCAGCAGTAGCAAGTCTCCAATGTGATAGAAAAATATAATGGAAATATTTTTCCAAAGCATTTCATTTCAGCAGATTATGTTTGTGGGGCCTGTTTTCATCAGTGTCCAATTACTCATCCTGTATTTGCTGCCAACAGTGTCTAGAAAGAATAAAATGGATGTCTAATATTTTACCTAAATACATTTTTTAAAGAAAAAAGTTTCAAACATTTTTCATTAGTAATCATATTATTTATTATGATAGATCTTTTGTATTATCAAGATATGTGATTTGTGCAATGGTTTTTGAATTAGTTTCTGTTCTGCTGTTAGGGCCTCATCCAATGCCCATTGAAGGCAACTGAGAGACTCCTAATGACTTCACTGGACAATGGATCAGATCCTTAATTCTCAGTTCTTTGCATAGATGTAATCCCCGGTGAAGTTAATGAGAGCTGTGCATGCCTATCTGATGGCAAAGGTAGTCCTATATTATGGAAGCACAGGAAAGCTTCTGTTGAAATACAGCATTGGCAAAATGTAATGGATCTGATTCAGCTCTCAAGTTCACATATGCAACTCTCATTGTGAGCCTAGGTGTTTGCATCTTAGGGCAGAATTTGCCCAAAGGAAATAAAGATAATTCTTTATCATACTGTATTATAGAAATGTCATTATTTCCTCATCCTTCCATTTCAGTGAATATGTAAAGGGTGTATCAGGAGATAAATGCTTCCTGACAAATTTGTTTTCTCATCATGCAGCAGCAAGTCTGTTTCTTGTTTCTCACATGAAAAGTAGATACAAGTGTTTGCAAACTACAAAGTCTGTCACATACCCCACCTATTATCTCATAAAACATGATGATCTGACATCAGCTGAACAAGTTGGATCACTTCTCAGGTATTATAAAACATGTTCAAGCTCTTACGTTTGTTCATTATTTTACAATCAGAAGTCAGTACTCAAATTAAAAAAGGGCAGCACAGTGGTACTTAGATGCAGTTTTCTTAGGTACCCTAGTTCAAATCTCTTAATTCATCTTGTTACTGCAGCACCTGCCAATCAACCAGAAACAAAGAGGGCTAACACTTGCTTCTAATAAGTTTTGAAAATAATTTGCCTCTACAGTTTTCATTAGGTAGATGGCTCTTAGCATCTGAAAAAAAAGAACAACACACCAGAGGATTTTTTGATGACTCTTTTCTCCTCCCTCCCTACACAAAGGAATTGGGGATTTGAAACAAAAAGTTGGAGAGGTTTAAACAGATGGGTGGGAAAATTATTGAAACAACTTGTGTGGGGAGGAAGAGAAAAAACAATGTAGGAGGTAGGGGGAAAGATAGAGAAGAGAGGTTTAAGATAAACTTATGAAATCTAAAGCAGAGAGAGAGAGAGAGAGAGAGGTACAGAATGTTTAAATTGTATTTGAGTTTCTTTTGGCTGCCAATCAACTAATGATAATACTTTCAAATAGCTTCTAATAAACTCACCCTCCTAAAAATTTTAAATCTTTCCCCATTTGAAAAAAAAAAGTTGCAGAAAAAGTGTTAAATTAAATATCTGACTTGTACATTCTTCCAGATGCAGACTACCACAATAATCTTTTCTACAACACAGTCTATCACTATTCTTGGTTATGACTGTCAGGAAAAGCAGATGAACAAGTACTGACATGAAGTCAGAATATAGCTGAGTGCAGATTTCTGCATGGCTATTAAATGCAGTTTTAAGAACTTTGTTTCTCCATAAATAGACAAATGAATGGTAAACTCATAACTCAAAACATAGGGCCTGTTTCACCACTGCATTACTCCAGTTTTTAATACTAGTTTAACTTCATTTATTTCAGTGGAGTGAAGAAGAGTCAGAAGAGGCTTAGAGTGGGGCAAAGGCTACCTCTGCAGCCCTAGTCCCTTTTTTACACAATGCCTGTTTTTAGGAAGATGAACACAGACTCTACCATGCTCCTGTAGTGTTGAGCCAAGCCATGTGGGAGAGCTTGCAACCATTTTTTTCCACCAGAGGAAGTGGCTTAAAGATACTGGTCACAAGCTCCTTTCATATGAATGCCATTATGAAAGGTTTCTATTTTTTTTTAAAAGCTAACTAGAACACTACATATGTTGCCGAAGACTTTTTTCAAAAATTAACCATTACATTGCTAAATGTCTTTAATTAAGTTAGTTTTATGCATTAATTTTCAAACACGGTCTTAAATTCAGTTATGTACATTTGGGTATCTATTGCAAAAGCAAATTTGAATACTTCCTATAGAAAATTAAGTTTTAGAAGTAACTGCAACTGCTCATTCCTCAAAAGAAATTAATCCAAGATGACTGCTGTGATATCACAGTTCCTCCAGGACTCTTAAAATGTCTGCATTAACTCCTTGATGGTATAACACTGTAAATAGTCTCGTCACAGTCGAGAACATAAAAAACTACACACTTGGTATATTTACACAGAACTGCATATGAATAAGTGCTAAAGTTCAATGAAGAAAGCTACTTATAGTATCTCAGAGGAAATGTGGAGAGCTATCATTGAGCAGCTTCAATATTTTTTAGTGTTATCCTTGGCACAACAGACCTAGAAGAACATCCCACATATTTGTGTTAGATCAATAGAAGTACACTGTATTGAACTGTGCTCCCAATGATACACTAAGGACATACAGCATGACTTCTGGAGTATTTAGATTCTATCCCTCTACATATTATCTTTCTTACCGGAGAAAGGCACATATTTCATAAATAAAAGTGCATCTAATCATACTGAATATTCACAAGGACAAATATATGGTAAAGCAGTTCATAGGAAAACGATGAAAAAATGGAATCCTGTGCCTTTTGATATAATTTTAACATCAAATCTCTTGAAAGGAAATCACTGTTTTTTTTTAAAAAAGAAAGCCCATATTTTGTTTTCCTAAACAATTTATATTTTCTTTATGCTTACATTTTGCAGGCTGATTTTACAAACATAAAAACAAATTGATTAAGTCCTCCCAGAATATAATATTCTTAAAATAATAGTAGTACTCAGAAAAAATATGTAGTTTTATAGAATGTACTGCATGTATTTATTTTGCAAAGTCCTGAAAAGGACAAACATTTTTTTGAAGGTAACAAAAATAGGGTAAGGTTGTGCTTTGAGCCTGTTGATAGCAATTAATTTTTCATAAAATAAATTACATAAAATAAATTAATATTAGATATTTACTTCCTAAAAAATAATATCCTTGAAGAGCACTACACAAGAACTAGGTATTGTAGTAAACATGTATTTTATTGTAAAACACGAAGCCTTACCCTGAATCTCTGAACTTGAAAGCCCTGTTTTTCTGTCATTTTAAGAAAGTGACTGAAGTTGAACTCATCAAGCAGAATATACACAGCAATCCCTCTGGTAGATGCCTCTACAATTTCTCTGAAGATATCCACATCTGTAAACATATCCATAATTATGGCAATGACCTGTTTTTAAAAAAAGAAGAGAAATTACTATAATAATTTAATGTATAAATAGTATTTTTTCATGAACTCAAAATATATAACATTTTACATAGTGCATCTAATGAATTAGTACTCTCTACATGCCAAAAAGCTCTAAGGTTGTTTTTTTTCCATCCAGGATAGTTAACATGGTGCAATTTTTAAGATATTTTGATCCTATCTTTAAGGAAGTACAATAGGGGCTATATGCTTACATTTTCATTGGGCAGGTGACCACTTGCACGACACATTATTTACATACATCAAAGTTTGCCAAAAGGCTGATACAGTGCTTGTGTAGAAAAACAAATGAAAACAAAAAACAGTGAAACCATTACTGTAGTTTGGCTATGGAAAGAAAGACAATGGTATTGTTACTGTAAAAGGCTCTCATTAGTCTTCATCTGTAATACTGTTCTCAGTTTTGGCCACTTGATATAGGAAGAATGCCCCCACCCCAAGACTGTGGGAGGCAATAAGGATGACTCAAGGTTTCATCAGACGGGCCTATTCAGCACTTTTAGCAGATGAAACTCCCACATAATTCAGTAAGGGTCTGGTTGTGTAAGGACTAAGAAATGCTGAATAGAGACCCTTGTTAGGCTTACCATACTGAAAAATAATAGATACTTCTGAATAAGGAAATACAATACCTATTGGTTTGAAGATTTTTGACCAACTGTGCACCAGTTAGCCATCATTGGTGATTTTAGAAAAAATAATATTGAAGTGAGAAAGAGAGGTAGAGAGACAGAATATATGAGTAGCTGTGAGAGAAACTTTTAACCTTTACAGATAATCTCCCAAATCCATTATAGTCTTAATAAAAAGGTTGTACCACATCACTCATAAAAATGACCAAATTCTGCTCGTGTGTGGAAACCTTTCACAGAGTTCAAAGATACTAAGTTTGCTTTACCACAGTCACTAATTTTATTGAACCATCTGTACTTATGATTTTTCATCTTGTAATTGCTATATTTCATCCTTTAGTCTTATCCTAGAACTGAGGACTGAGATATTCAGCTTATTCATAAAATTGGTGAAGCCATGTCATACACATCCAGGCCAGAGTTAATTATTTCTCCAGTGAGCCATCTTCATTACCTTTAAGAGTTTGCTTAGAACTATAAGAATCACTCATAGCAAATATCTAAATGTAACAATGGAAAGATTAATGGCTTCCTGAAATATGATCTAAAGCAAAACCAAGTCATCAAGAAAGATGAGAGAACCATTAAGGAAAACGGCTTTGGGGAGGCCAGAAGATGTGAAACAAAGACAGAGTGTTAAGTTGGCCTGTAATGTAAGTGCTTAGCAGTTAAAATGCTCCCTATAAATTCCATGGGATGGAGAGGAGGTCAATAGCCAGGACTCATGCTGTTCCTCTTTCAAAAATCTTAGATTTCATACCATTCCCATTTTAATTCTTTTTGTAATCAATGTTCATTCTTTTTTTTTTTTTTTTTTTTATTAAGGCAAAACAGTATTAAGCTAAGCTGTACTATACTGTGGTACCGCATTTGGATAGCCTAAAGCTTCTGGCAGCTGAAAACTCATACAATCTCTAGTTTTGAGAATGTGTGCACTGAATAAAGAGTTTAACAGAGGGCATGGCCTTACAATATCCATGCTTTTAGTCTCTGTAGATTGTGGGACATCCTGGTAAAGAGCCAGCCCTACCATGTCTTCTTCTCTGTCCTGCCCATGCCTTCCTTGCAGCATAACTGTCTCAGACACCATTGGTTCCTCTAATGAGGCTGTCAACTTCCTCATCTTGGAGTGGGTAAATGCCACACAACAGAAGTTAAGGCTGCAAGGATTTCCCCAAGAAAATATATCAATACAGGGTTGTTGGATCCTATCACTCCTCCTCTATAGACCAGCAGCCCGCTAAGCCCATGGAGCCTCAACCATGCAGAGGCTTCAGCAAACTATGGGATGCAATCCTTTGGATATTATAGTATAAACAGGAGTATACTGAATAGAATAGAGAGGTTATATTACCGCTGTATACATCACTTGTGAGAGCACTTCTGTGTCCAGTTCTGGTGCCCACATTTTAAAAAAAAAAAAAAATTGAAAAGTAGAGAATTTAGAGAACAAGGATCTGAGGTTTGGAAAGCCTTCCTTACAGTAAGAGGCTTAAGGAACTTGACCTACTTAGATTATTGAAGAGAAATATAAAAGGTGACTAAAGATATCACAACTATTTACTGTAGGAAAAAGATATCAGATGGCTCTTTAATTTAGCACCCAGGGGCATAACATGATCCCGTGACTGGAACCTGAAGCTTGAAATTCAAACAGCAAATAAGCAGTTCATTTTTAACAATGAGGATAATAAAGCATTTGAGCAACTTACCAAGTGGTGGTTTCTCCATTATGTGAAATCTTTAAATCAAGATTGGATGTCTTCTAAAAAAAATGCTCTTGTTCAATCATAGGTTATTGGGTTTGACACAGGAATTACTGGCTGAAATTCTATGGCGTGTTATGCAGGTAAGACTAGCAGAGATTCATAGATTCAAAGACTCCAAGGCTAGAAGGGAGTATTGTGATCATTTAATCTGACCTCCTGTATAACACAGGCCACAGAACTTCCCCAAAATAATTTCTAGAGCAGATCTGTTAGTAAAACATCTAATCTTGATTTAAAAGATGCCAGTGATGGAGAAATCCACCACAACCCTTGGTAAACTGTTCTAATGGTTAATTACCCTCACTGTTAAAAATGTATGCCTTATTTCCAGTCTCAATTTGTCTAGCCTCAACTAGACATTGGATTGGATTATACCTTTCTTTGCCACACTGAAGAGACAATTAGCAAATACAGTGGAGTCGCATCTTACACAGGGGTTAGGTTCTAAAGTCAGCGTGTAAGGCAAAAATCGCGTAGTCAAAATTACCCTTAAATTGCCCATAAAGTACAGTATACTGTACATGGTTTTGTGTATACAACCCTGTACAGTAATATGTATAAATGTATAATGTACACAGTAATGTACAGTATATAATAAAGAGTACATATGCAAAATATAATCTTACAGTACTGTATTTTTAATTACAGGGGGTAATTACAGGGGGTTGTCAGGGCTTGATGTCAATCCAGGAGACAGAGGTGACGGAGAGCTTGGGTGATGGAGAGCGAGTCGTAGACGAAGTGGTTGGCTCTGGTTCAGGTTGAGAAGATGATTGCGTAGGCTCATCTGCTGCTGGTTGTTTTTCCTTGAAAAACATGGTGATCGGCAACTGTCGCTGTTGTCTCTTGAGCTGCTCAAACATTTCTTGATACAGTCTCAAATCGTCCGTAATACTATGTGTGATTTTGAGACTTCATTCCATAGAGGGATCGTATTCAGAAATTAAATCATTCAAGTGTTTCGCTGCTTGGAACACTTCAGCAAATTTATGAAGATTCCAACTTGCTGGCTCTTCCTGTTCGTCATCATCATCTTCGTCTTCTGTAGATGATTTTATCAGTTCCTCTAACTCTTCGTTAGTCAATGTTTCTCTATGGCTCTCAATTAATTCTTCAATTTCCTCCTCAAGGATGTCGACGAAGCCATCACCACCCACTTGCCTGGCCACCTGAACAATGCATTTCACTTCTTTGTCAATGGTCGGGAAACCCTTAAAATCATTCACACATTCTTTCCATAGGTTTTGCCAACATGCATTGACTGTTTCAGGTTTGATTGCATCCACTGCCTGTTTAATATAAGTGATGCAATCGGCAATGTTGAAGGACTTCCAACACTCCATCACATTAAGATTGGAATCAGCATCCATAGTGCTACGTATCCATGAGAATGTAAGCCTCATATACGTGGCCTTGAAACAGCGAATCATGCCTTGGTCGAGAGGTTGGAGGATGGAGGTGGTATTGCGGGGGGAGAAAGACGACTTCAACGTCATTATGTGCAAACCGGAGTGCCGCACGGTGGCCAGGAGGTCTACGATCAGCAACACTTTAAAGTCAAGTCCTTCCTCTTTGAAGTACTGCTTGACCTCCGGAATGAAACACTTGTGGAACCAATCCAGAAATAATGCTACCGTCACCCAAGCCTTTTTATTTGATTGCCAGAACACAGGCAGGAGATTTTTGTTCTTGCCTTTCAGTGCACGGGGATTTGCAGCCCTGTAGAGCAAGCCTGGCTTTATTAAATGCCCAGCCGCATTGCCACAAAGCAACACAGTCACATGGTCTTTAGCTGCTTGTCTTTCTGATTTCGAAATGTAAGTGCGGTTGGGCATTTTTTTCCAGAAGAGCCTAGTCTCGTCAGCATTAAAAACTTGTTCTGGAAGATAGCCCTTTTATTCTAAGATTTTCATTAATTGTTCGGGGTAGGCTTTTGCTGCCTCGTCATTGGCAGATGCAGCTTCACCAGTAGTCTAGACATTTTTGAGGTTGAAGCAGTTCCTAAAACTGTTAAGCAAACCTTGGCTGGCTTTGAATTCCTTCTCATCAGAAGGCTGTCCCTCTTTGGCAGGAGGTTTGAACAACGCATAGAGGCTAAGAGCCTTTTCTCGCAACATGTTGCCATCGATAGGCACACGTTTACGGTTCCTGTCCTCCAGCCATAAGTTTAATGCCTTTTCAGTCTTCACTAAAGTCACGCACCTAGCTCATCACCGTAGCAGTTATTGGAGCACTTGATGCCACGGCTCGACAAATTTCTCTCTCTCGAATCTTGATGGCACGGATGCTAGATTCGTTGCAGCCATATTTACGTGCCACGTTGGAGATCGAGATACCGTCTCTCAATAAGTCCAACACAGCCAGGTTTTCCTCCAGCGTTGGAACAGATCACTGTTTTTTCGGTTGAGCACCAGATGAAGTAGTTGGCTTGCGTTTAGGGGTCATGTTGTATGAAAAATATGTATCTTTTAACACTAGAATCACACTCAGCACAGTGAGATGCTCACACTATGAGAGGCACGTGGGAACTGAGACCGACTGAGGGAACAGCAGATTCACG